AGGGCACGCATTACGCAGTCCCAGTTAGCAGAGTTGAAAGCATTTTTGATGTCTAATGCAGTCACCAAACAATACTTTTTTGTGCCGCGATTCCATCTCTTTCCTGCAATCGCATCCTTAGCTGTGTTGACGACCAGGTTGATTGCATCCAGGGTTGACTGTCTTTTTTCGGAAACCAAATTGGTTATCTGCCAGGAGTGAATCAACTACTGCTTCGATTCTTTAGTGAATTATCCGCTCTAATATTTTACCCGCCGTGTCTAACATGCAGAGTGGACGGTAGGATGATAGTTCGTCAGGTGGCTTCTTTCCTTTCGGGAGCAGTACAAGTCTTTGCCACTTCCACCTTTCAGGAAAGACTCCTTCTTTGAGACACGCATTGTAGGTATCTATGAATAATGCCGGCGCTGCTTTAATGGATGTTTTTAAAGCAATGTTTGGAATTCCATCCAATCCTGGCGCCTTATTATTCCCTACACGATCGCATGCCTCTATCAATTCCTCCTCTGTGACAGGTGGGATGTCCTCAGGGTCAGGCTGCCTTCCTTTCAACAACCTCTTTTGCTATCTTTGTTGGCTTTATTCAATTCTCGACAGGCCTTTTTGTACTCTGCCATCAGTTCTGTAGAGTTAGGTCGACGATAGCTACGCTGAGATATTCTTCTTCTTTTAAAACAGTCTTTACGAATAGCGCTGATGTTATCCTTCCACCAGTGTACCGAAGATCGGTGATTCATGCCACGTTTCCGGGGCATACAAGCGTCGCAGGCCTGGGTCACTCTTTTCATTAGCTCTTTTGCTTTCTCTTCAGCACTCCCTGTGGTAGTCGGGTCGGTATCTAAGGCTACTATCAAGGTAGCTGGGTCAAATGCTTTCACTTTCCATTGTGTGTGTGTGTGTGTTTTTTTTTTGGAGGGGGGGAATCCTTTTTACGGATTCTAGGCATAGTTGTTGGCCTGGATATGTGGCGACTCGACGCAGCGTCATACTAATACTCGACGCTAACGCCCCTACCCACTAAACCCTAAACCCCTTTTCCTTCTTTCCTCTAATCCCTCATGGAAACCGCCATCAGGCATTACTTCGTGAAGGGAGGATCTAGCTACTGCTCTTCCTTCTGGTGGCTAAGGTGTTAACTACCTTCCTTCTATCTTCTGCTATGTGCTCTTCTTCTTACGGTGGAACGCAAGTCTTTGAGGACTTC